ATATATAATTGCTTTTCTTTTTCCTTATTCGCCGTTCTTGCATTAAAAAAAAAACTTTTTATTTACATAAAGGGAAATTTTAATTCTTTTATATTAATTAAATAATTATTTAATTAGGTTTTTTATTTTCTTTGCCTTTTTAGCTATATATATATATATATATATAATACGTGTACAGTTATCCTGTTAGTAGCGGTAAGTAGCGGCGCCTTATATAAGTCATATTGTCTAGCCACTTCTTATTTATATTTAATTGTAAATAAACTATTTAATTAAATTATTTAATTAAATAATTAAATAATTTAATTAAAATATTTAATTTAATTAAATAAGTATTTATTTTGTTGTATAGAAGGTAGTAGCACTATGATGGTGTTGCTCCTCCCGATACAAAGGCAGCACGAGTATCCTTCTTTGTCCGTAATGTACTAATAAAAAGTATATACTTAATTGTATTTCTTTCTTAATTATTTATTATTATAATTAAAAATAAATTAAATAAATTAAATAAAAGAAAAAAGGGAGAAAAAGACAAAAAAGAAGTTAATGTGTAGCAGCGCATGCAACAAACAGCTCGTCTTCGATGTATACAACTTCGTTGCGCAGCCCCAGGGTTATTTTTTCTTCTTTTCTTTGTTTATTTCCTTTAATTAATTAATTTAATTAATTGTAATTAAATATAAAAAGAAAAAATAATTATTTATATGATTTACACCCGCGATTTGCTGCATTAATAAAGGCTTGGGGGCAACAAGGAAGGGGAGGGGGGAGAAAAAGATTGTTCTTCTTACAAGAAAAATACAAAAAAAAAGATTTTTCTTGTTTATTTATCCTTAATAAAGGTTGCTTTTTGCCTTCTCCTCTCCTTTTCCTTCAATAATATACAATATTATTGTCCGTTTGCACTAATTAGGATTTAGGGTTTAGGGTTTAGGGTTTAGGGTTTGGGATTTTCTGCCACGCGATGCTGTCGGTGGCTTCGCGCAGTGGGGCCCCAAGAGGGGCCCCCCTGCTGCTGCTGCAGCTAGGAAGACAAGCGACCCTTCGCAGCAGCAGCAACAGCAGCAACAACAACCCCACCGCAGCAGCGACAGGAGCAGCAGCAACAGCAGCAGAAACAACAGCATCAGCAGCAAGAACCTCGCGATGCGGTCAACGAAGTGGCATCTTCCCCTCAGCAGCAGCAGCAGCAGCAGCAGCAGCAGCAACAGCAGCAACAGCAGCAGCAACAGCAGCAACCGCAGCGACTCGGGGGTGCAACCTCCGCAGCAGCAGCAGCATAATGAACAGCAGCAGCAGCAGCAGCAGCAGCATGCGTTTTATGCATGCATTAGCTCCTGCTGCTAGTGGTTCTCCTGCATCAATATCTTTGCTGCAGGAACCAGAGGAGTTGCTGCAGTATGTATCTGCTTCTGCTGCTGCTGCTGCTGGTGGTGGTGGTGCTGCTGCTGCTGCTGATGCTGATGGTGGTGGTGGTGCTGCTGCACCAGCAAGCTTATCATCACTGCAGCAAGTATTGCAGCAATTATCTCGTCATAGTAAAGATCCTGCTGCTGCTGCTGCACTGCAGCAAGACACAAGAATGCTGCTGCTGCTGCAGCAAATAGGTCTGCTGCTGCCAGCAGCAGACGGACGCATGCTCTCTCTTATTGCTTCTTCTCTTGCACTTCTTAGATTCTCTAATCTAGCTACACAACAAGTTAGTTATTTTATTTATTTATTTATTTATTTATTTATTTATTTATTTATTTTGTTTATTTATT